CGTGCCTCACTCCCCTCATGTGAAAAGGTTTGACATACCAAACAGAAGACGTACTTTTAGAAGATTCTGTTGAGAAAAGCTTGGCATATTGCTACAGTGCACATTGTAGGTAGTCTATATTGGAGCCATGGTGACCTCCAGAACTTGACACAAAACTAAGAGAAAGTATGTGTGTCAATGTTTAGATCCATCATTTTAAATTTGTCTAACCAGTTTTACAAACGCAAGTCCAAAGAGATTCTGGAATATCTATATAGATCACTATATGTAGCAGCCAGGGAAGAAATAACACTGAGGCTAATGGAATATTAGCCTTTCTAACTAGAGGTTTAGGATGCAAAAGGAAGTCTTGCTCCCGTGATATGTTTAAAAAAAAAGGCTGGTTATCTGCATTAACTGTGCACAGTTCTGGGCTCCACACTTTAAAATTGAAGCAGTGTAATGCACATTCACTCAGCTGGCTAGCTTATGTTACAGAGTGACGGCAACAGGGTGAGTTCAATTTCTGTGCCAGCTGAGGTCACCACAAAGGTCCCTCCTTCTCAACCTCGCCCCTTGCCCGAGGCATGGTGGCCCTCACGTGACACACCCTCAAGTTAAACAAATGACAATCATTTCTCTCTAACGAGGGTGACCCCATGGTCCACCTTTATTCACCAGAATGCTACCAGGCTTATCAGAAAAGCATTCATAAACTAAACTTTTTATATTCTAGAAGATAGAAATTAAGAGGTTTTCTGAAAGAGATCTTATTAAGATTTTGAGACGAACTGTTTGTGAATTTTTTCCCCATCTGTTAGGGAATCAAGAACATGGATAGCTTTAAATTCAGAATTTTGTTACAATAAAGTGTTGAACTTCTTAGTGAAAGAAGTTGATACTCACTCCAGTAATAATTCTGGAAACAAGATCAGTAAAAAATTGACAGCCAAGTGTCACAAATTGTTAACTTTGACTACTTTTTTAAAGAAATATGTAAGTCTATAAAATGGACACAAGGAATTTTTATAAAATGGCTCCCCAAACCTATATGACTTTACTTGTGAATTCAACAGTGGCCAAAAAGCAAACAAACAAACTGTCTTATCTTAAGACTCAGTCAAAAAGACTCATTAAACGTGATTGTAGAATTGCTGGCTGAGCCGGTGTGTTTAATTGCAGACGTTTTGTCACCCTCATAGGTAACATCGTTAGTGCGCCTCCGGTGAAGATCATTATTAATATCGAAGGAAGATATTTAGAGGGGTATGGAGAGAAAGCAGGAATATGGCATTGAGATAGAGAATCAACCATGATCATATTGAGTGGCAGAGCAGGCTTGATGGGCTGAGTGGTCTACTCCTGCTCCTATTTTCTTAAGCTGTGCTGTAACTATTTTCAAATTGAAATACAAACTAAAAGGGGACTAATATAAAAGCTTGTACTAATGTACAACTTTGGTTTGCAGACCATTTGGAGAATTTTGTACGCACTTCTGGCACAAGTGTATTAAGGGACAATTGGATAAGAGATAGAATACAGGTCAGCTTTGAAGTCTGAATGCACACAGGCTCAAGGGGCTAACTAGGCTCCTTCTGTTCCTACAAAGCTCTGTGTAAACTCTCGATAGACCAATGCACACATGCACACACGAGTCAGACACATACTTATTAACCGCAGTAAAGTGGAGGCTTGGTCTATTTTATTTTCTTTCTTTTCTTTAAAATCAGAAATTTATATCCTACATGATACAGTACAAGATTGTCAGCTCCATTTTGCTTTTCAAGTCAAAGTCTTAAAACCTCTTGGTTTCTCATTATACAATCTCTTGTCAGGAAAATAGTCACTTTTAGAAAATATATATATATTGCTTGATTTACAAACATTTCTGTAGTTTTATGTTAGAAAAAATATTTATTTCTGGATAGATGAGAGGATAAATTCCTCGGCAAAAGATAGTAGACGTATTTTTCAGTAGTGAGGTCAAAGAGAGGTCGCCGTTGACAGAATTTTAAACACTAACTGGCTGGTGACAAATTCAGCACCATCAAGGTTTTCGGTCATTACACCTTGGATTTATAGCTGGTGAGACAGCTATAGAGACTGACTGCAGAGCTACACAGCCTCTTCCTAGGAAAACCAGCACAGACACACAAAGGACACTGGTCCACGGCTGGGCCAGTGTCACAACACAGCAGGCTTAAAACAAGGACAGCTTCCAGTGCACTTACCTCAGTGAATTTGGGTCGCAATAAGACGGAAATAAACATTTAATGGGCTCCGCTTGGGGGGTGTAAGCAAATATATTTCCTGCTTCCTTGCCATTCAAAGGAAAATCCATTAGGATGGGATGGCGTTGGAGGGGAGAGCCTTAACATCAGGGAGGAAGTATTGCTGCATCAGAGTGTATGTTGCAGCAGTCCAAATCATTGTGCTTGTCTTTTGGCAAACCTGGTGCCTCACCACTCTCCAGCAGCCCTTCAGCAATAATATTTACAGTGCCTGACAATTCCTTCCTTTTCTGATGGGTTTGCAGTGGCACGTCTCACATCGCTGCTGCCTCATTGGCAGGGAAAAGATTCTAAGCTTGCCGGCCAGGGAGGGAGAGCTGGGAACGAAATTCCTTGATGCCAGGTCCTGGCAAATTCGAATAAGCCAATCGGTGGCCCGAAGGAAATGTCAACCGCAAATGGAAAACAGTGTAGTTAACTGGCACAGTCCCAACCTAAGTAAAGAGTCTGTGGATAATTTAGCTTAGTGAGTCTTTTTTTTAGAATTATTTTTAGTCAATTTGTTTGGTTGCGTTGCGATGCACCTCTGGGGCAGGTGGGATTTGAACCAGGGCCTTCCGGGTTTTGACTACCACTGTGCCATCTGAGTTGGGTGGAATTATTCATACTATGACAGCCACGAGGCGGCTGACCTAGTGTTGCCAACTTTCCCCTCAGTCCCCCCGGAATCAGGGTGTGGCAGGATTAATGCAGGGTTTAACAACCCAAACGCTGCCTTCCCACACACATGCAAAATAACTAAATAAAAACAACAATCTAGGTGTTGTCTCAATACATCAGGCTCCGTAAGCTAAAGGCTCCTATTGCGAAGGAACGAGCCGGCTTATCAGATTATACTGACATTCTCTATATTGCCAATGTATGCTGTACTTGCTTTATAGTTCAGTTGTCATTAAAAAGCAGTAATTTAATTAACCTTTCCAAGAATTATCCACACACTTGCTAATACTGGAAAAACAGGCCATAATCTTCAGGCATATTCAGGGAAGGGGAAACGCAAGACCACTCTCACACTGGCTCTGCATCCTTGTGTGAGACCTTCTTACCTGACCTCCCCCAAGCACAATGTTTTTCTTTGAAAATAAAGACTCGCTTTTCCCATATCCTGGTTTTCACTCGTCCAAGTGACTTGAAGGTGAAAAAGTTAGAATTGCTGTGAGCGTTGGCCTAGGGATGCCCAAAATGCAATCCCTCACCATGGGTCATGCACAGCCTTCAGAAACAAGGCTTTGATGACCAGCCAGCACAATCCTTACACTGCGCTTTTATTTCCTGGGGGCTGTTCTCTGTTCTGTTTGAACCACATTCCACTCGACGACCTGTGTAAAGGCTGGTCATCAGCCCACTGAACGGATGACATCCAAATCAGAACAACATTTCGTCGCGTCAGAAACTCACAAATTAATGCAAGCACAAACTTAAATTGGAAGAGGCCTGGCCCTGCATCAACACCCCCTTCACTCTCCTCCTCAATGACCCCGAAGGCTCAAACCTACATGGTCCATAGTGACAGGAACAAGGGCTGGTACATCCCTGACATAACTGTTGAGAACAAAGTGGGGTACATAGCAGCAAGCGACGGAATTCAGCGATGTCCCCAAATTCTTTAACAATTGAGGGCAAGAGCCATCTGATCCAGTCCATCAGAATTCAATTCCAATACTTGCTTCTAACCTCACCATGGAAAGGGTCTCCCCCTGCTCCCTGACTTCATTGAGACAGAGGAAGGGAAAAGGACCCCTCATCCTTCACTCCACTTGTCTCAAGGAGTCGAACATCCTTCCAAGTGGACAGACTCCCTGGCCTTAAGGTGGTCATCAGGCAAAGATCCAGCACAAACCACGCTGCAAAAGCATTCATCGTGCCAAAAAATAAATAAAAACAGGCCCGCAAATGACATCACAACCCATCAGGGTCTGCTTCGTACTAGAAGCAGGCCAAAATTCCGGAACTTTCCACATTATTCGTACACAAGTGGACGCAGATGGGGGGGTGGTGTGTGGTCTGTGCAACAGAGAATCCTGACAACATAGAGACTTGGTCATGCAGAGTTATAGGCTCGGAGTGAGCGAAAGGCCGGAAGCGATCACAATAGGACTTTTCTTTACAACAGTTAGGTCACGAGTGACTGGTAAATGAGCGTGATTTTAAAAAAACGGTGCAGCACAGTACTGGTCGGAAGCCTGGAGTTCTTAAATGTGATGCGGTCTGCGGTGGTGCTGGG